GCTTGAGGCAATGATTAAGTGAAGGTTGATTTGAGCAAGTCTGCGGTGGAATTAATAACAATTTCTTTTTGGAACTAACAAATCACTTTGTTTACTGTTTGTTTACTACTACAGTAATTATCATTCTATTGTATACATTTTACAAAGTCCATCACATGTGAATTTTTTTCCACAGGCTTTACAAATAAAGTTTATGCAATTAATTCAAAAGATTTTTGCATGCATTTCAGGCATTAGTATTATAGTGTGAGAGAGTACAAATAAAGGTTGTTGTTGTTGTTGTAGTTGCTGTTCAGAATACTTTGCAGCACAGGAAAATTAAATTAATATCAGAAAGATTTTACTTTGGGCACTCAGATGTATAATAATTATACATAATTATAACTATGTAACACTTACACAAATAATATACTCCATATTTAGGATTTTTCAGTTCACTGCAAAGATGTTCAATGTTCTCCTTGGTAACACAAAGTATAAATGAAAAGAAAATAATGATTAGATAAAAAAATCAGTTCTGTCAAGGAATTTAAGATGAAATGATTTCAACAAGCCTTTCATCTTTTTTCAACATCAGAATTCAGTTTTTAAAATTCCTTGCACATCTTAATGCAAGGTATTCAGATAGACTTTCTGATCTATACAGTACTAGAGAATGTTACCTCCTTGATTAACCACTTTCTTTCTGTTTTTGATTCTTGTATGACTCTCATCAGAGGTGTCCTCGTTATTTTTTGTTATCATCAGAGGTTAACACCTTTCACTTTTTGTCCCTTGTTCCCTATTGAGAAATTCCATCGTTCCCTAAAATTTGTTTTCAAAGTTCCCTTTTATGGTAGAGATACCCCTTGTTCCCTCAAGCTAATCCCAAAAATACCCTTGTTCTGTTAAAAGAAATGTTCATGTCCCCTTGTTCCCCAAAACTCATTACTAGTGCCACCTCTTGTACCAGGCAAGAGTATATGTTGTGGTTCAATTTTATCCGTGGTCCAGGCCCCTGGTACAATTTAGCAATTCCTTTGTTCTGGTGTATGGTAATTTATATAATGTATCTGAACCAAAGGAAAAAATACAAAATTGTACCAAGGGTAATATTGAACCACAATGTACACACTGCACAAGTAATTTCTCACAATCCTTTCTTCCAGTTCCTGGAATATCCTCTCACCCTTGTTGGTCTCAAGAAACAGATCGCCTTCAAGTGCTTCATGGTTTCTCGTCCGCTGGTGTCAACCCTCTCAAACAGATAAACCTCTTTCTGTAGAACCTCACTTTGAGTATACACCATACTCACTATACCTGTCTATAAACAAAAATGGCACTTACGTTTTCAATATCCATTACATATCACCTGTGGAAACCTGTAATATTATAGGCCTAAAATTTCAGTTGCAAGGGGAGTAGTAATTCTTCTTGTTAACATATGCTGTGAAAATTACGATACAACCCAATGGTATTGGCCACTTGCACCCAAGTGCAGCTTTCATCCTTACCTAGATTATCAAAGCTAAAGGTTACCAGCAGCTTAAAACTGACCTTGTGTAATCTAGTGTAGTAATGGTGTAAATAAAGTCTATAAAAGGCTATTACAATTGTATTTTTACATGATTAAACGATTTGTAGCCTTAAATATACCAAATAATCTGTGTAACTAATATCCTATGGTTTTCTTTTGTCACTGTTCGTTTCCGATTTGCTGTTTCGCGTTGTAGTTGATACTTTGACATTAAAGCTAAACTCGACATGACATGCACAAATATATTATGTTACAACATGTTACAAGCCCTGTAAGAACATCTAAAATTGGATGCCGTATATAAAGCTTTGCTGCTTGAAAACTGTTCAATACATACGAAAAGGAACGAGGATTTCTCCAAGAGATCTAATTATATATAGCTTTGTAGATGGCGATTTTCAATTAACGATCCGCTTACCGTCTCCTTGTCCATAAGAAGGACTTTCATCCCGGGACCACTATCCTCGATCATCTTTGTAACATACTGCTTGACTGCCAAAATCACATTCATAATTGCTTGTCTTCCTACTACCTCCGAGTTTTAAAGGTAAAAATCGACAGAATTATGAAAAGAAATCCCCTTTGATCTCTCCAAATCACAGATCTCCGGACGCCATATTTATTTTTCGTGACAGGTTTGTCCCAGTCCCCATCTGCAATTACATTGAGGGAGGGGTATGAGAAACAAATAATTCTTACTGGTCATTTAAAAACACGGATATTTTTCTCCAAAATAGATCATTCCTACTCTATATTGATATTCTTCAATTTTGTGCTACATTTTGTCAATTTTGAAGCTCAAGTTTTTATCTTCTTGGCAATCTTTACCCCACCCCTGATGAATACCAGAATTCTTTTGTAATAAATTCCTTACCGCGCATGTCATTGTTTCTTCAAGATGGCGGACGAAGTAGTTGACCTCGAAGTTGCTCGCCAAAAAATGAGGCAATGGCGCGATGAACCTCTTCGTAATAGCGAAGAAGTCACTGAACTTGGTGAGTGTCTTATTCTAGAACATGGAAACAAGCTCGGAGACGAGCTGTGGACGATTTACGAGCAAGTATTCTTGGCTTCGATCGACTGTCGAAAAATGGATTTGGCCACCATGTGTTTGAGGGAACTTAAAACACAATTTCCCAAGAGCATACGTGTGGAGAAACTGAATGCCATGCGTCTTGAAGCGTTTGAAAAGTACGAAGAAGCCGAACAGATTTATAACAAGATCTTGGAGGCAGAGCCAGCGAATGCTGTTGTTCGTAAAAGGCTTGTGGCCATTCTCAAGGCACAAAACAGAGTGGGGGAAGCTATTAAAGAGCTCAATGAATATTTGAAAAAGTTCATGAGTGATCAAGAGGCGTGGACTGAATTGGCAGAGCTCTACATCTCGCAGCAGGATCACAAAAAGGCGAAATTTTGCATGGAAGAGTTGATCTTAATGAATCCTCACAATCATTTGTTCCACCAGCGATACGCCGAGATCCTCTACACCCTTGGCGGGAACGAAAACATGGAAAAGGCCAGGAAGTACTTCGCACAAGCTCTCAAGCTTGACAATAACAACATGAGGGCTCTGTTTGGGTTTTTCCTGGCTTCAGCCCATTTGGCGAATTCCTCCAAAGATGTCAAGACAAAGAAGGAAAATTCTAAATTTGCTACCTGGGCAGCTACACAGGTTAATGAGAGGTACCAAAGTGTCAGTCAAGCACAAGAGGAGGATAATCTATCAGAACTGGAGAACATGCTGGAATCACTGCAGGTCGCTATTCCTCAGAATATTCCTTCCCAGCGACTTAGTGAAAACTAGCACAGCATGCATGCCTACTTTATATTTTCAAGGCATAAGAGTGTGCACATGTACATGTAGATGTATACTCACAATACCAGAATTCTTTTGAGGTTTCCGACCTTGTAGTCGGCATTTGTTACGTAAATATTTGCTTAATATGTTGATATGTATGGGCCTGTCAATCCAGTATCTCTTAGAAGCTTGGTGCATTCACAACATAAAGCTGATTTTCTTTGAATTGTTGTGATATTTGTATGTTCTATTTAATCCCCTGGTATCAAGAGAGATCCAGATTTCCAGTTTAAAAATGTTGATATACCCACATTGCAGGATTAGTAAAATTATAGGTTACTTAATACCTTTAAGAGTTTGGCATTAGTCATGTAGAGATTTCAATATTGTGACACGGCAGGCCTGCCCACATCATCTTCAGCCCGGGGCATTCTCTCCTCAAGTTACATGTAGCATAATGTATCTGATTTCATAAAAATTCTTGTTTTGCGGCGATTTCAATTTCCGGTAAAAGAGAAAACAAACAGCGGTTACAAACATAACAAGCATATCATGTGAAACCTCTTTGTTATGTTTGTAACCGCTGTTTGTTTTCTCTGTATCTGATTTCCTTTTAATTCCAGCAATGTTTGTTTGTGTTATTTAATCTCCTGATTTGAGGGGAGATCCAGATTTTTGGTTTTCAAGGCAGGTCTGCGTTTAAAACAATAAAACAATGAATTTAAATGACTGAAGACTGATTAGCTTTTATTTTGGCTCAGTGACACATTTATGTACCCTAAGAAATGGTCCTGTATTCTGTAGTTTAGTCACAACTTACATGCTTAGTTTATTACTCTAGCATATATGGGTTATTAGCCTAGCCTGAGGTCACGAGGACTGGATTTTGGCCAAGTTTTTCTCTGTGTTTGTTTTTGTGGACTGAGACAGAGTTGAGTTCCGTAACCACGCAAAAAAGAACAAGGCCAATATACAGCCATCCTGACCAAACAAGCTTGGTCAATAAAAGATTTTTGTTGTGCAAACAGCTTCGGCTTGGGAGAAATTATTCTTGTGCACGACAGTGCATAATCCCAACTGGGCAAGATAGTGGCATCTTGTTTGCTTGAACAGCCAACACAGCGCCGGATTTGTTTTTCTCATAGAGCTCACCATGTAAGAAGGTTAAATATTGTACAATGTACTGTAGTATCAAAGCATACATATACATGTAATCCTAGTTAACCTTTGGTATATTTTCTCTTTTCAATACCCAACAGTGACTACTTTGTAACTTCTGTATAATTTGTCATGACAAATTAAACTAGGAAGTTTGGCAGACTAGTTGTGTGGGTACCGGTAAATATCTTCATTATTCCGGGTAAAAGGTTTTGATTTAAAGTGAGATTCTCCCTAGTTTATTCTATTCACTGTGCTAACTGTATCAGAAATCCTCACATAGTTTGTTCTGGGTCTGTGACTGTTTAAAAAACATCACGAAAATCTACACGAAGATGATGACCATGAGAGTGTTGAGTATAATAATTGTGAATATGTAAATTACATTTTGTGCTATTTGTGATTTGCTTTATGGTCATGTGTAGTCAGTAAGTAGGCCCTATTGTTTCTGTTTTGTACTGATCTTTTTAGGTGAAGAGAGTCACAAGTTATGAGGGTTAGTGTTCATGAATAAGATGACCAAACAACTGCAAGCCCATAACACCCAGGTAGAAATAATTATGCCTATTGTAATTATTATCACCTTTTTTCATTGTTTTGAGGGACTCCAGCACACTCCAACAAAGTTTTGTTTTGTTTTGCTTTTTCTTCATAAATTTTTGGGTCTAGCAAGGTGATCAAATTTATTTCCATGATTACTTTCTTATTTCCAGTTAATTTGCCAGTGATCATTTAACACATTGAGTACATCTCCTGTACAAGAACAGTCTAATTAGTGGGAAGCCTTGATGTTAAACTTGTGCTGACTGAAGCAAGGGAGCAGATAGGGGGGTCCTAGGGTGCCTGTGACACCCCCCTCCCTTATGTAAGCATTTTTTGAGCAAACAACCTACAACACGGTGTGGAGGTGGACATGACAATCTGGCAAGTACCCTCACTTTGTCAAAGTGTGACCCCCCCCCCCTTTGAAAAATCCTGGCTAAGCCCCTTTGAAGTGTTGACAGAGGCTCAAATTTTTTTGCTAAATGTACTTTAACTTTTTCAGTGCTTCAACCCCTCTAGTTTCAAAATTTATGGACTGATTTTCTTTTGTAGGTATAATCCTCAAGGATCTTGAAGGATCCTAGCAAAGATCCTGTTGAGATCTTACCAAGGATCTTTGCAAAATCTTGATAAAATCCTTGAAGATCCTGAAGGAAAGATTCCTCAAAGATCGTTGAAAGATCTTCACTGAATCCTCAAGGATCCTAAGGTGATTCCTTAGTATTGCATTGCGCATCCTTACTACGCACGATTTTCGCGTCATTAGCGCGCGCACATGAGCGGGTGCGCGTATAGAACGCAGGAGATTTCCCTCAAACTAAGCTCGATAGCGAAATAAATGTTCCGTTTCTCTTAAACGAACACGGTGATCCCCACTTTTTATTTCATAATTTCAATGAGAACAATATCCTCAATAACTGGGAAAAAAATTAGCAGAAGTCCATGGCTACTTTTTTGGCAAATGAAACTTATACTACAGAGGGAGACATAACGGGCCCAACAGCGCATGTCCAAATTATGATCCCTTAAAGGATAAAAAAATCAGGGTATTTGAAGAAATTTTTTTCTGGGACGTAGATGAATAAACAATCAAAGAAAGTAAAACGCTGTGTGATATAACACGCTGCATTGAAAAATAATCAAGCTTTTTTTGTTGCGCACGGAGATTACTAAAAGTCACCTAAATAACCGTATTTGTCAGCATGGTGGCGTGAAAACAAGCACGGTGACCCCCTCTTTTTACTACGTTTTTAATATCTCCTTGTCCTGTAACAACAGCACACCAAGTTTCATCGGAAATCT